TTCTTGTGTTACATTCAATTTATAACTTATGCAAGATCTATAATTTTTATGTTAGACTTTTATCATTTGTGCATATATAATTTACAATCAGACAGATGTTCATGCAAAATAAAAATTTTCATTGCTGAATGCATTTTTTTCATAACAAATCTTTCGGTTTATAATTAAAATTTAGTTTCCCGTGCTAATTTTATGAAACGACTTTCTACATACTTCAAAATAATTTCTATTAAAATATGAATTCGCACAAAGATACGCATATTATAAATAGACTATAATACAAAATAACTTCCGTTTCTCACCAGATCATGATCGTAGACTTCCGGTATCGCATCTCCGATGAAATTAACCGGGGTATTGTACGGCGCGTTTTCATTAATCTCAGCGCGGTATCGCGGGTTTCGGAACTTAGGCGTCTCGTCGTTAACATCCGTAAGAATGATGGTAACTTCCGTCGACACCGATGGCGCGGGTACTATTTTCGACACCTCTCTTACGGTAATTTCCAAGACGAAAGCGCCCTCCGCGTTTTCCTCGGCCTCTCTATCGAGCTGCGCCCTGGTGAACACTAAACCGGAAGTGGCGTCAATGTCGAATAGGTATCTTGGCCCCTTGGTGATGCTGTAGGTCACTTTGTTGTTTATGCCTTTGTCGCCGTCCACTGCTCGCACTGCAAAATATTTATAATTTGTGAATTGTCGCGGAGGATTATTAAATTCATGAAAAAATGGCGAACGCTTCTTTTTTGTTTGATGAATAAATTATTTCGAGCTCGTTTTGTTGTTTATCTGCCTTGCAATTTATTTTAATTTTGTTAAATGCGAAACGAGCAATATGAACGATGAGTAAACATTTAATAAGTGAAATTACTAACAATAAGATTCAACAAATAAGTAATAACTGTGAGGTAAATATATTCTTGTGCAGTTTGTTTTCATGTATTTATTAGTATCCCATATAGTTATTGATATCCACATATATTTGTCTATGTATATTCATTAATATCTACACATAATATATTATACATATAATTCATTAATATCCACATTTATCCACTTATATATATCCACTTACCTACATTGTAGATGTTCATCTACAAATATTCATTCATATTTGTTCATCCACATATATTCATTAACATATATTCATCTACAAATATTCATCCACAAATATTCATTTATATTTATTCATCCACATATATTCATCCATATATGTATATTCATCCATATACACATATTTATCCACATTCTTCATCCACATATATTAATCAATGTAATAAATATATATGAAGTATTTCATACTCTATCATCAAGATTGAACATGTCAATTAAGAAAAGAGTGGATAATGGTTTTCCTTGATGATGTGAAACAGGAAAGTGCCTAATAAGGAAGGCGCTCTACGTAATAGTCCTTCGATTACAAGAAAATTAAAAGTAATACATTTGCTATAGCCGCTTTAAATGAAGTCAGTACGGAGGTAAACCGACCTTGAAGAACGGACGTTCCTATCCTTGCATTTTCACTGATCCTAGCAACAGGCGTCATGGTTATGAATTCCGGTGGTTGGTCCTCGACGTCTTGAACCTTAACGAGTATCGCGGTTGTTCCTGTGTTTACCTGGAATAATTACCATCGAGTACAACAGGTGTAACTGGGAAACATTTATAAAAGAAGCCGCCTTGAAATTACTCGAAATTATTTGAAAAATCACCGACAGCGAAAAGGCGCGATTAGTGTCAATAAATAAACTGCAGATTTTACGTATTTATGGCAAAAATTAGTAGATGCAATTAAAGCAGTAGATTGATAAAAGGATTTTAGGAACATCAATGCGTTAGATCATTAAATATGAAATGCATAATGGCCTAACATTAATTTTAGCTTATTCAGAAAATAGGTTTACGGAGCGCTAAAGACAACTATTTTATATTGCTTTATGAAAGTAACAATAACATATTTATATTTGAAATTTTAGCATTTTCATTCTAATATTTATTCGAAGTAAGAAATTTATTGTATAAATAAATTTGACAAAATAGATTATTTCTTTTTTGCTCCTGTTCCTTGCAACTGTGGTAAATAATAAATACAATTTTTAATTTGCTTATAGATTTCCAGTTTATTGACTCTAATTATACCACCAATTTTTATTCTGCGATTCATGAAATTATAGAAATTCTTTATATAATGTAAAAATTGCAGAAGATCTACGTAAATTCAATGTTGTAATTTTTACGATAAATATCTAATTAAATTCAATGCAGTATTTTTTATTTTTATTTTTAACATATATCAGAAAGAGAGATTCTTCTTCGAAAGGGCCACTCATTTCAGTATTATAGGGGTTTTATCTTCACTAGAATGTAAACAGCATACCTTGACACTTGCGATAAGAGGAAATAGTATGCTCGAAGCGGGTAATTTTCATAGTCAATTATTCTCCCACGTTTCGCACTGTCTATTGTCTTCCGACTACGGTCAAAGCTCTTTCCTTACCAGTTTCAGATCAATTGTGATTTTTCCACAGTCATACTTATTTAGCAATCATTTTGTTTCAGCTTGTAAACTTGATTTATACATTCAGTTTAACTTCTCTATAATGCAGCATTTTAATTCTAGCGGTACAAGTGGCAGAACAAAATCGTATTAGCATTACTTTATTAATCTGTCCTATTACAAATGAAATAGTATCCACGTTTATATAAATAAAGAGAATAAAGATAGAAATATTTTAGTTTTATTTTGTGACAACTCCTCGCTTGAAGTTGCGCCAAATTCGATTGCGTGCACACGCACGTTTCTCTGAAAATAAATCCTAAGCAAAAGGGGTTAACTAACCTTCTCATTAATAGCCCGATCGATAGCTAAGATTCTCAGCTGGTACAAATACTTCCTCTCGTAGTCCAAGCGACCGACAAGTCGCACGACGCCCTTCCCATTGACAGTGGCAATGCTGAACACGTCGTTGTCACCATCAAGCTCTTGGAGATAGTAAACCACCTGTCCATGGACACCTAAGTCAGCGTCGGTCGCTTCGACAGTGGTCAGAATTCCTGGTCCAGAGTCCTCCCGAATCGTCAGAGACGTTGGATGAGGACGGAAAATTGGAACGTTGTCGTTGACATCTTCCACGAGCAACAGTAAGCTCTGAGTAATGAAGTTTCCCTCTCCCAGCCTTCCGTCTGTCAATGTCAGCACCAATGCGTACTCGTCCCTGGCCTGAAACATTTTCAAACGATATTAGAAAGTGCTGCAACAATATTCGAAAGTGTTGTAACAATATTATAAAGTGTTACAACAATATTCGAAATTATTGTAACAATGTTAGAAACTGCTATGCAATAACAACAGTTCCAAAAAAAATAATATTCTTAGTTGAATCTCGTTTTATACTTTAATTATGACCTACTGTGATTTATTTGCATGTCAATATTTTAAACAAATACATCAAAGTACGGCACAATCACAGATCAATAAAACGTTTTACAATATCGGAAACAAAAAATGTCTGACGCTATGTTCAAGAAGAGTATGATAATTACTAGACTGCGGATTTTATGCATTTATAAGAAAAATGGGTAGGTGAAATTTCAAATGGAGATATTAAAGCAATTTAAAAAAATATCTATGTATTATTTTCAACTCGAGAGACGCAGTTATCTAAGAAAAGAAAGAAATTTCTATTTGACACGTGTTTGCTGCTGTCGATGAAGATTATTTTTATTTCGCAAGACCCGCAGTCTAGTTACAAAAATATTAGAAAGTTCGGTATTTCTCCAGATACACAAAAAACGTAGAAATGGAACAGTGGGATATGGGCAATTGATGCTTTTGCCTTATACATTTAAAATATTCTCTATAAAATTTCTATATCTCCAAATCACGTTTTCCTTTCTTTTTAAATGCCTTAGTGTTGAATTAAGACAGCTACATATGTGACAACCACGATTTTGTATTTCATGCAAAGACCATCGAACGAACTTTGTGAATATAATTATTTAAAATTGTAACACATGGCATGATGTGCAAAGAATTTATAACTTTTCTTCGACCATATTTTTGTCATATTGTATAAGAGCATACGATGTGTATAATACGACCAATATAACTATGTACCTCGGCGACGCTGGTAGCGGACGTGTTGCACGTCACAAAATCCACGTTGATAATAAAGATCGCGTATCGTATGTTCGCCGAGACGTTCGCCGTATCATCATCCGACGTAAAAAAAAGGAATGCACGATGCGAGAGCGTCGATGATCAGGGTAATTGGGTTACATGGAAAATAGCATTGTAAAATGGGACGGATGCGACGATCTTCTGAAAGCATCCTAATTGTCGCGATATACGGAGCGTCAGAGTAGCAATTTGAGGAGATGTCGTATCCTTTAACAGGAAATTAACCGGCGTTTGAACAGTCACGTACAAGGTGGATGATAATAACGACAAAATAACGAGTTACACCGGGCCGGATCATTCGTAGATCACTATGTCGGCGCTTCTCTTGCCCGGCGCTCCTCGTCACCGAGTTTCTCTTTAATGCGTTCGACACTGTTGTTAAACCGCGATCGAGGGTACTATGCGTGGAAAGGTATGCAAAAAGTGAAGATCACTCGTGCGTCATGAAAGAAAAACACAGCGACGCAGAAGTGAACGTACGAATTATTTGTTTCCTCTGCCTCGAAGTAGGTAATGGCTCTGGCATTTGCATTTTAGGCTAGATTACGATCGATGATACGCATTATTGTGCACACTTTTGTTTACAGCGTCGGCGCGTTTCGTTTGTTTTTCTGTCGCGATTACTGCAATTCAGAATTTTTCGCGCGTCCCATGAAACGAAATGTAAAATCGTGTAATGCAAGAGATCTGGTTTAATCTCTTAGTTGCGGACGACGTGTATAAACGTAACAAGGAAATGGTAATTTTACATTTTGCAACAAAAATGCTTCTCCTATGATTTAAGTTAAAATGTTTATAAAAAAAGTATTCATAAATCTCGCACATTTTAGAGTAATTTTAGAACAACTTGCTGGAAGAAACTGCATCCAGTGTGATCGATTAAAAATCGGAAAGCCGTATAAAGATGATTCGTATGCAGAAATACGGTTTGTATACCGTACACCGTTCGATATTGTAGTAGAAACAAAATACCATGATCGCCTAGAGAAAGTAATGATCTATCGTGCAAAAATGTGTTACAGAAGATGTGTTACAACGCAATCTCGCTTGCACTGTTCTTCGTGTAATTAATGTTTTGCTACTTCGTAAATTGTTCACGCTTCTGGAGAAATGTGAACTTTTGTTACAAACAAACGTGTTGTATAACTGATACTTAATTAAATTACTAAGAAATCTACTGTAGATTGTGATTACTCATTTTTGTGATGAATGTATTTTTTTTATGATATGTGTAATATGGTGTAAGGCAACTTTTTGCTAAGTTGATTTAATATTATTAAATCATATTCGATTTAATAATTTGTTTGATTTTTTTTATTAGTTTAAGTTAAAATTTAAAAATGGTTTACACGTAAGAGCAGTAACAATTTTTTATATTATTGTATTTTACAAATCTTTTAATTCATTCTTAATTCGGAAATCAACTTTTCTGATTTACACCACTTCTGCTTTCAACAGCTCATTTTATGATATTACCATTTTAGCCATTTTACTTTTACTGCTGTTATGATCACACTAATCAAAATGATCTATTTCTAGTTAACGAAATTATATCTTCATTTCCGATAGCCTTTCGTTTCAGCTAATAAAAAAGATGTCAAAATATGGCTCCTTACGTAGTTCGTTTAAAGAAAAAAAACACTTTCTAAAATGCAATATTTAGTAATGCACATTTCATTAAATGCAATGTTTACTGCATTCTCTTACGAAATGTAAAGAAGATACTGACATAGATAAGTAGACTGCGGATTTTATGCACTTATGACGAAAGTGAATACATCAAAAGCAAAATAGCAAAAACGTTTAAACAATTTGTAAATATTGTTGCGTTACTGCCAACTTACTAAAATTATTTAAAAAACTAATAATAAATGTCTAGGTAG